TGGTTCTCACTCAATATTTTGTCTTGATAAATGGTCTCACTATCTACTTAGTCACAATATCAGAAATCTAGATATCATTCTTTCACTCCACACATCCAACCAAACATTCAGTCCTAAAAGATCTGTTTCCAGGGCTGGGCTCAGTGGCTCACATCTACAACCCCAGTGTTGTAGGGGGCCAAGGTAGGTGGGTTGCTTGAAGCCAGGAGCTCAATATCAGCCTAGGCAACACAGTGAGACTTGATCTCCACAAAAAATTTAAAAAATAAAAATTATCCTAGCATAGAGGAACATTCCTATAGTCCCAGCTACTTGGGGGCAGTGTGGGGGCTAATTCAGAAGAATTACTTGAGCCCAGGAGCTCAAGGCTGCAGTGAGCTGTAGCCACACCATTATACTCCAACCTGGAAACATAGCAAGACCCTTTCTCAAAAAAATGCATCTTTGATCTTTAGAATTTGTCTACACTTCATTCATCCTATAACTTGCCTTATTTTAAGCTCTTGTTATTTCATACTTGACCTTCTATTGTTTGGCTAGATCCTGTCCTCTGCAAATAATCTGCCACATTGCCACTGAAATGACCTTTGTAAAGACAAGCCCAAATTCTTTATAAAATTATGAAATGGCTCCTCTCTCAACTTGCAGAATAAGTTAATGACTAGTTTCCACCCTGACAGATAGCCTCATCTCCTGGCACTATTCCATGGGTTTTCTCACCTCAGTTCTACAGAAGGTACTCCTGGACCCTTAAACACATCTGCACCTGCTGTTACATTCCTGTCCCTTCTGCTTGTCATTCTCTTCCTTACCTTGGTTTAGCTAACTTCTACTCAACTTTTCAAAACCTCAGAGTCCAAATATCACCTTATCCAGGATGCTCTCCTTGAGCCCAAACTAAATTGCTTTTCTTTATTTTTATTTTTTTAGAAACAGGGTTCCACCCTATCACAGGCTAGAATACAGTGGTGCAATCACAGCTCAACCACCTGGACTCAAGTGAGTCTCTTGCCTCAGGATCCAGAGTATCAAGTAGCTAGGACCATAGGCTTGTACCACCCTACCCAGCTAATTTTTTAAAAAGTTTCCTGTAGAAACAAGTTTTCCCCATGTTGCTCAGGCTGGTCAAGGAATCCTCCAGTCTTGGCCTCCCAATTGTTTTTACAGGCAGAGCCAATGCGCCAACCCAAATTGCTTTTAATAACAATTCTTTTTAATTATAAAAGCAACACATGATCATTGTCAAAAACTTGGGAAACAAAAGCGTAATCCCACTGAGAAGGATTACTATAATCATTTGGTCAAAGAACCCAAAATTTAACTGGTGGCGATAAAGGGGAACAAGAGAAGGTTTATAAAACGGAAGAATTACATGGTAAGCTTTGACTTTTGGCCAAGTCTGCTTTTGGTTACCAAAAGTAAAAAGCAACCGAAGTGTCCTTCAGTAGGTGAGTGGATAAATAAACTGTGGTACATCCAAGACAATGGAGTATTATTCAGTGTTATAAAGAAATGAGCGGCCAGGTGCAGTGGCTCATGCCTGTAATCCCAACACTTTGAAAGGCCAAGAAATGGGCCGATCAGGAGGTCAGGTGATCTAGACCATCCTGGCTAACACAGTGAAACCTTGCCTCTACTAAAAATACAAAAAATTAGCCAGGCATGGTGGTGGGCACCTGCAGTCCCAGCTACTAGGGAAGCTGAGGCAGGAGAATTGCTTGAACCCAGGAGGTGGAGGTTGCAGTGACTCAAGATCGTGCCACTGCACTCCAGCCCGGGTGACAGAGTGAGACTCTGTCTCAAATAAATAAATAAATAAATAAATAAAGGAGCTGTTGTGCTTGCGTCAGCAGCATATATACTAAAATTGGAATGATACCATGCTGATTTGTGAAGCATTCGATTAATTTTTTTCTCTTACATTTTTAAAAAGGAAAAGAAAATGAATGAGCTATAAAGCCATGAAAAGACACTGAGGAAACATAAATGTCTAACATATTACTACATGAAAGAAAACAATCCGAAAAGGCTACATATATGATTCCAACTCTATGGCACTTGGAAAAAGGCAAAACTATGGAGATGGTAAAAAGATCCATGGTTGCCAGGGGTTAGCGAGGAGAGAGGGGTGGAAAAGCAAAGCATAGAGGATTTTTAGGTCAGTGAAACGACTCTGCATTACTATGATAGTGGATACGTGTCGTTATACATTTGTTCAAATTCAGAATTTACAACACCAAGAGTGAGCCCTAATATAAACTATGAATTGTGGGTGATTATGATGTGTCACTGTAGGTTCGTCAACTGTAATAACCGCACTACTACAGTGGGGAATACTGATAGTGGCAGAGGCTGTGCATACAAGGAACCAGGGGGTCCTATGGGGAACTTCTACCTTCCACTAAGTTTTGCTGTGAATCTAAAATTGCTCTAACAAATTGAGTCAGGCCAGGTATGGCAGCTCATGCCTGTAATGCCAGTATTTTGGGAGGCTCAAAGCTAGCCTGAGCAACATAGCAAGACCCCATCTCTACAAAAATCAAACAAACAAACAATTGGCTGAGTGTGGTGACACATGCCTGCAGTCCCAGCTATGTGGGAGGCTGAGGCAGGAGGATCGCTCGAGCCCAGGAGGATTAGTCTACAATGAGCTATGATCATGTCACTGTATTCCAGCCTGGGTGACAGAGTGAGACTCTTGTTTCTTAAAAAAAAAATTGTGTTTATTTTAAAAGGGCAGGGAGGTGGATAGTACAGGAAGAGCCTAAAGAGACAGGGAAGAATCCTACATTTCATCATTAATGTAAGGACAAGCCATTGAGGGGCTTTGGGGGATGCAAGAATGACAAGCTCTGAATTACTTTTTAAAATAATCACTTTAGCTGCTCTTTGAAGAACAGACTGGAGGGAACCATGGTGGGAGCTGGGAGAACAGAACAGAAAGCTGTTAATGCAGTTTAGATCAGCTGATAGGGACTCAGGCTACAAGAAAAGTCAGTAAAGGTGGAAAGATGTGGTAAAAGTAATCTTCGGAGGGAAAATTGACAGGACCTGGCAATGGATCCAGTGTGTGGGTTGAAAGAAAAGCGACAATGATGCCAAAGTTTTGGGATGAGCAACTGGAAGTCATTTTCTAGATAAAGGGATGAACCGAGTTGAAGCTGGTTTGAAAAGCAGGGTGAAGGTTCACCTCTGAGCACTTTAAGTCTGAGACTCCTGGCAGTGCCTAACAGTTAGTAGGTGGTCAGGTTGCTTGTCTGCTGTTGTTATTACTGTTTGGTTATGAGCACAATAGGTTCGGTGAATTACTAGACACATTCATTATTTTTTAGAAACATTTGTCAAAAATCAAAAGAATAGATGCAGAATCCTATCATTTCTCTGCCATCCCTGTCTCACAACCTGTTGGAGTGTCTTTTTAATTTTTTTTTCTTTTTGAGACAGAGTCTCACTCTATCACTTAGGCTAGAGTGCAGTGGCATGACCTGGCTCACTGTGACCTCCACCTCCCGGGTTCAGGCAATTCTCCTGCCTCAGCCTCCCTAGTAGCTGGGATTGCATGCATATACCATCACGCCCAGCTAACTGCTGTATTTTTAGTGGAGACAGGGTTTCGCCATGTTGTTAGGCTGGTCTCGAACTCCTGACCTCAAGTGATCTGCCCACCTTGGCCTTCCAAAAGTGCTGGGATTGCAGGCGTGAGCCACTGCACCCAGCCCAAAGTGTCTTGAAGTCTTAAACTCATTACAAGCTACTGGGGTTTATGGCTCAGTCAGACTTGTCACAGCTCTGCAGAGACCACTCTGAAAAATCTGCCAGAACGCATTCATGTTAGTTTTTTGCAAATAAGACATTGTTCCCAAAGACCCAAAATAATGAAGTAATTTTAACAAGAAAACTTAATTTAATAAGAGACTCTCCAGTACTACTCTTCCAAAACAGTGGTTCTCAAAGTGTATTCCCCAGATCCACAGCTTCAGTACCTCCAGGGAACTTGTTAGAAATGCAAATCTTTGAGCCTCCTCCCTAACCTACTGAATCAGAAACTTTGGGGGATAAGCCCAGCACTCTGTTATCACAAGCCTGCCAGGTGACTGATACATGTTCAAGTTAGAGAACAGCTAATCTATGGCCCGGTTCGGTGGCTTATGCCTGTAACCCTAGCACTTTGAGAGGCTAAGGCAGGCAAATCACCTAAGGTCAGGAGTTTGAGACCAGTCTGGCCAACATGATGAAACTTAGTCTGCACTAAAAATACAAAAAACAGCTGGCCATGATGGTGGGTGTCTGTAATCCCAGCTGCTAGGAGGCTGAAGCAGAGAATCACTTGAACCTGGCAGGTGGAATCTGCAGTGAGCTGAGAATGCACCACTGTCCTCCAGGCTGGGTGACAGAATGAGACTCTCTCTGTCTCAAAAAAAGAAAAAGAACCACTAATCTAGAATAATCACAAGAAGTTATATTACAATCTTTTGGATCTAAATGCACAAAATTTACACTATTTTAAACAAGTGAAACATGATTTAAAGGCTAGTAACATTCTAGGAAGTATTTTTAATATTAAAAGGATCAACAGCAGTATTTCCTTTTTATTTGATTTTTGAGACAGAGTCTCACTTTGCCACCCAGGTTGGAGTGCAGTGGTGTGATCTCAGCTCACTGCAACCTCCGCCTGCCAAGTTAAAGAGACTCTCTTGGCTCAGCCTCCTGAGTAGCTGGGACTACAGGCATCTACCACCAAGTCTGGCTAATTTTTGTATTTTTAGTAGAGATGGGATTTCACCATGTTGGTCAGGCTGGTCTGGAACTCCTAGTCTCAGTGAGTGATCCTCCCACCTCTGCCTCCTAAAGTGCTGGGATTACAGGTGTGAGCCACCACACCCAGCCAGTAGCAATACTTTCATCTGAATAAACAAAAGTACAGAAGAAAAGGGTTGTGCTTATTGATAGTAGACATGGCACACGCCTGAAGCAGGGGCTTGGGAGGCAGGTGTGCTTACCTGACAGATGCCACTGATACACATGTCCAAGGAATCCGTGTTGCAACGAGTCCCATCCAGTACCTTAGGTGCCAGCTCCACCACCAAATCGTGTCCTCGGGCATGACACTTGAGTGCGCAGGGGGCAGCAGGATCGTTATATCGTGGAAGCCATTCATAATACTGTCCCTGATACTGGACGTCACTGTAGGCTGAGCACTGCTGGGCTCTGAAATCTTCTGCATCTGGAGGGCAGTCCTGGGGGCGGAGGGAAAAGGCCTCATGCACATCGTCCAGTGAGAGAGGCCACCAGAAGGGGAAATAAGTAAACCGGAATCCCATCAGACCACACCCCACTTGAATCCCTCTGGGAGTCACCTAAATCCCTTTTTAAAAAAAAAAAAAAACAAAATTCAAAGGTGAATGTACGCTATGAAATTCCAGAGAGATTTCTGTAATAATGATTTATACAGGAGATTATGTCATTATTCTGATCACTCATCCACACGGGTTTTTTTTTTCCAGATAATTAGTGCTTACAAGACTTAGATGCCAAATTTTGCCCTATTTTAACTATCTCAAATATTAGTTTTCAAATGCATTATCTAATCTCTTTCCTTCTAAAACAAAGGAAACCAAATTTTTCCAGGTGATTCCAGGTCTTCATAAAAATTTAATTGTTATCCATGCCTTCAGGAGCCATTTCAATGTGAAGGATTATTAGCCTAAAACTGCTGTGCTCTGTGAGCCCTTGTGGTTGTTTCTCTGTCATTGTTTTTTTGTTTTTTTTTCTTGAGATGGAGTCTTGCTCTGTCACCAGGCTGGAGTGCAGTGACTCGATCTCAGCTCACTGCAACCTCTGCCTCCCGGGTTCAAGCGATTCTCCTGCCTTGGCCTCCCAAGTAGCTGGTACTACAGGCGCATGCCACCATGCCCAGCTAAGTTTTGTATTCTTATTAGAGACGGGGTTCCACCATGTTGGCCAGGATCGAGTCGATCTCTTGACCTCATGATCTGCCCACTTTGGCCTCCCACAATGCTTGGATTACAGGCCTGAGCCACAGCGCCCGCCCTGTCATCGCTGTTTTTAATTCATCTGCCTTTCCTCCCCCGTCAGTCTCCCTGCCACATCTTCACTGGTACCGAGTACCTGCCTTCAACTGGCTGTAGGATGGATGGCAGAAAACACAGCTTGTTTAAATTCTGTCTACAACAAAAGCAAATAAATTCTAAGTAAATGCCCTCAGGTGCTGTCACAATAAAAAGTATTTGTACAAATACTGATGACTTATTGGTCTTTTTACTAAATTACTGTTTCTTCCCACCAGATATTTCTGAAGCAAGATACTGATTGAGAATAGCGTGACTTTACTCATCAAAAATCTAGTTTTGATATGCAAACTTCATAAAGAAAACAGGTACAGGCCGGGCGCAGTGGCTCAAGCCTGTAATCCCAGCACTTTGGGAGGCTGAGGTGGGTGGATCACGAGGTCAAGAGATCGAGACCATCCTGGTCAACATGGTGAAACCCCGTCTCTACTAAAAATACAAAAAAGTAGCTGGGCATGGTGGCGCGTGCCTGTAATCCCAGCTACTCAGGAGGCTGAGGCAGGAGAATTGTCTGAACCCAGGAGGCGGAGGTTGCGGTGAGCCGAGATCGCGCCATTGCACTCCAGCCTGGGTAACAAGAGCGAAACTCCGTCTCAAAAAAAAAAAAAAAAAAAAAGAAAAGAAAAGAAAAGAAAACAGGTACAAAAAAGCAATATAGCAGCCCAGCACGGTGGCTCATGTCTGTAATCCCACTACTTTGGGAGGCCAACACAGGTGGATTACCTGGGGTCAGGAGTTTAAGAACAGCCTGGCCAAAATGGTGAAACCCCATCTCTATGAAAAACACAAAAATTAGCCAAGTGTGGTGGCACATGCCTGTAGTCCCAGCTACTCAAGAGACTGAGGCAGGAGAACTGCTTGAACCTGGAAGGCAAAGGTTGCAGTTAGCCAGGATCATGCCACTGCACTTCGGCCTGAGCAACAGAGTGAGACTCTGCCTTAAATATATATATATATATTTATAATTTTATATTTTTGTATGTATTATGAAAGTAATACAGTAAATAGTCATTCTAAAAATGTTGGAAATAGTTTCTACTCAACAAAAGAATAAATAACAGATCTTTGTATCTAAATCTTCACAAAAATCTTCACTATTTACCAAGGACTTCTTTCTGGAAATAAAATTTCTGAGTCCAAAGTTATGCACATTTTATGGACTATTCAAAATACTGCAAAATTGTCCTCCATTACAATTTTCTAGTTTTTTTTTTCCAATCAGAAGTGCAAAATAGAACTCCATTGTTTCATTTGTATTTTCTTTTTGCGACAGAGTCTTGCTTTGTCACCCAGGCTGGACGTCCTGGATTCAAGTGATTCTCCTGCCTCAGCCTCCTGAGTAGCTGGGATTACAGGCACCTATCACCACACTTGGCTAATTTTTTTTTTTTTTTTGTATTTTTCGTAGAGATTGGGTTTTACCATGTTGGCCAGGCTGGACTCAAACTCCTGACCTCAAGTGATTCTCCCGCCTCAGCCTCCCAAAGTGCTGGAATTACAGGCATGAGCCACCTCACCCAGCCTGTATTTTCTTTTTATTGCTTAATATCTTTTCACATATATTTGCTTTTTGTATTAATTCTTCAAAAAAATGTCTTGTTTTATATCCTTTATTTATCCATTGGTATTTTTGTCTTTTTATTATTTTCAGCAGATAAAACTATTAAACTTCATAGTGAAATTATTAGCTCTTTGTGATTTCTGATGGAAATATTTTTCCCATTTCATTTTGCTTTTGGTGCTTTGTAAAGTCAAAAAGTTTTACATTTTCATGTTGTCAGCTCTATGAATATGTCCCCATAAGGTTTCTTTCTTTATTAATGGGCTTAGAAATGCTTTCCCACTCTGCCCTGAGAACAGATGAATACTTAAATGTATTTTCCTAGTTCTTTTATAGATTAGCAGTCATATTTTAAACTATTTGTTAAATTTGGGATTTATTTAGATGAATAGTTTAAGTTAGAAATCTAGCTTTATTTTTTCCTACAAATGTTACTGATAGATTATCAGCCAGGATTTTTAAATAGAATTTCTTTCATTTCTCCTCTTTTTGCTATTTGACTTTTGTATTTTACTGTTTACGCTTTTGGACTTTAGAAATTTCCTTAAATCATTTTTGGAAGTAGGTAGGGAACAAATAGAATGTAATTAACAAACATTCTTCTGAGATTGGTTGTATTATTTTTCTGTGAAACATTCCAAAATCCTATATTGCATCCACATTTTTGTTGTCTTAGCAAAATTAAACCAGGTTACACTCACAGAAGCAAGTCAAACTGAAGAAGGCTAAAACTGGATGACTTTTTCTTCAGTCAGGGTCTTACTCTGTCTCCCAGGATAGAGTGCAGTGGCATGATTGCAGCTCACTGCAGTCTCAACCTCCAGAGCTCAGGTGATCCTCCCATCTCAGCCTGCCAGGTAGCTAGGACTACAGGCATGCACCACTACGCCCAGCTAATTTTTTCTAGAGACCGTTTCGCCATGTTGCCCATGCTGGTCCTGGCCTCCCGGGCTTAGGCAATCCCCCTGCCTCGGCCTCCCAAGGTGCTGGGATTACAGGCATGAAGCACCGTGCCAGGTCAGATGACTTTTCTCTCTTGAAATGAGGACTGTATCCTCCATCTGGCTATGGAAGGATCATCAATTATAAAATTACATCACCTCCTCTTCCTCCAGCCATGGCTAATTTTCTCTGCCTCTGACTCTTTGAAACCAACCAAAGAAAAGTGTCTAAGAGAGCAGGACGCATTCTCTAGGGACTGAATGTGCTGGCTAGCTCACTCTTGACTCCTTTAAATTCTATAAACCAATGAAGTTTCATAAAATTAAGCGTTAACTAGCAGAAAACACCTTAGGATGTCAGCCTAGACTTAGTCTTTGCCAAAAGGGTGGCCAGATTTGTACATGTGACCAGCCCCCTTGGTGACAGCTGACTATCCAGAGGCAAACATCTGGTCCCCACCAGGTCAATCTTTCTTAGGAATTTGGAATCGCAACAAAAGAGCTGGAGCTAAGAACTCATATCGATCTGGGGTTGGACTGGCCATTTCTTTTATAAGATAAATGTTGAAGCAAAGCAAGCCAATTCCCACAGCAAAGAAGAATGAATTCGATAAGAAAGACAGATCATAAACTATGCATTTAAATGGGAATAAGTATCCTGTGTTCCTCATTTTCTGATTCCTGGTTCCAGGCCCTCAAGGCCTGCTGAGGCTTAAATTCCCTTAAATACCCACTTGTCCATCCAGTGAATCCCCTTTGTCCTGAGCTAATCTAAGTGGGCTTCTGTTCTTAGCATATGATGTTATCTGATTAAGGCAGCCTGGCATCTGGATCATGTTTTTTAGTTTCCCAGGGGTAATCACCAACATTCTCTTTTTACAACCACCCTTTGAACTAGGTAGGTCAGGATTATTACCCTCACTCTATAAATGGAGAAAACTGTGACCTAGAAAGTTTTTAACCACTAGTCCAAAGACACACACTAGGATATGACAGAGCCAAGACTGATTTTCAAAATAACAAGCACTCTATTATAGAATACTGCTTTCTAGTAAATGTGGGGGCCACTGACTGCTTATATTAAATGCTTTCATTCATTCCACATTCTTCCAATGTCAACACTAAGCTTCCTAATCTGGCTCAGCTAGGTCCCATGTCCCCACTCAAGACAAGCTAGGGATTCTTGTGTCTTATACTGTCTATTTGACATTTAGGAAGTGAAATGACATTCTTCTGCTTTCCTTTCCCTGAGAAGCATTTTTTTTTTTTTTCCTATCTGGTAAGTTTAAGACAACACTTATTTATTTAAATATACTTGATGGGCTGCAATGTGAAAACGTAAGCCTGAATTAGGGCTACGGCTAGCTTAAGGATTTGCCCTAGGTTACATGAGAACACAAAACAAAAATATAATCCACCACTGTCATTCAATGAGCTTGTTATCTTATTGGAGATGCTGCTTCTATATGCATGAAACACATTGAACAAGTGTTATCACGGGTATTTGCAGACTTCAAGTAGAACTGCAATGAAGAACACAGAATGTTTATCCAATAGTTAAATTGTAAAATTGATTAGAAGAAGTTAATAAGAATAGATTCCGTATCAGCAAGACTTAACTCTAACCTGATAGAGGTAATAAATAT